TTTCCCCACCGCTCTCTCTCTCGCTCGCTCTCTTTTTCACATCATCAATGGCGTTGAAAAGACATTGTTTCATCTTCACAAAAATCTCTTTTTTTCTTGTCACAGTCATTTTGGCATTACAATTGACTCTGTTTGAAATGAAGGGGGAAAAAAAAAAAAATCTTTCACGCGTACCATCATCAGATGATGATTTCTACGCACGTGCGGCCGCTCCTGCATCCGGGCCATCTTTTCATCCCGCATCGAACGCGAAGGTCAGCCATTTTTAAGCGGTATTAGCTCGGCGCACGTCCTTGGGCGCGATTCACTCGAAATGACCCCGCGAGTCCCCGTGCACAATAGCGGCGCGGCGTGGCGCGGCGCTCCGTTAACGTCATGCGGCAAAAGGATCAATTGTGCGTGGCGGGCGGGTGCGGAAAGCATCCCTTTGGGCGCACGTATGCCGATGGAGCGCCGATGGAGCGTCGCCGTCACGACGTCGGGAGCTGGCGCGGGTCGAAATTCGAAAGCGACGCGACAAAGTGAAGAGCGCAGCCAATACGAGTTGATGGGAAACCGCTGAGCATTGAGGTTGTAAACGCGGGCCGGCGCTTCTCGTGGGATTCGGGTCGGCAGAGGAAGCCTCGCCGAACCTGACCGCCCCACCGCCGCTGCTATTGCATCCATCAAGCCGTCTGTCGGCCGATCCTTTGTGTTGACACGGGTAAAACATGGGAGTGCAAAAAGTGAAGGGTAGAGCATGTTTGGAGTTGACTGTACAGCGTGTGTCTTCACGCCCACACAATTTCCTGTTTGCTTGTGTTAGCCTGCCCGCGATGGTGCAACACTGAAGGCGAAACCAGGCCCCAGGACAGAGATGACCTCATATCTTTGAACCAAGATACCAAGGAAAAAAAAAAAGAAAAAAAATGGGTTGCTTTGTGGGCCACAGCTATTTGGGGCTTTTTTTTTGTTATTCCGCACTTGGCCCGACCCGCTGTCTCAGCAGGTACAACTTCCCTGATGTTCCGCCTTGTACGCTATACGAGCAGAAAGCAATTTCGGCAGCCGGCAATAAAAAGAAAAAAAAAAGGAGGCTCAAAAAAAAAAGAGAGAGCGAATCAGGCCAGTTCTCTGGGGAGAGATAAAGGGGCAGAATGTAAACTTGGCCGGTAAGCCGTCCCCCGCTGGATTGGACGGTAAAAAGAAACCTTCCAACGACACCAAAAACAGGTTGCATGACTTGATGAAACGAAGGGCATTGCAGATGATGTCAGCGCTGCAGCATTTGGATGAGTGGACGTTTCAAACGTGTTATTCAAGCGGCCTGAACCAAACGCACTCGGGAAACGACGCTGTGCTGCTCGATACGCAAAGGCGTGGCGCTTTTATCCGAGCGCTATCTTTTCACGCCCCGTTGATGTATCGCGACGCCGCCTTTCAGACAGGTCGCCCTTGCAAAACGGATTGGAAATCAAAAGCAGTTCTTTCACTTGACTCAATGTCCGCCTCCAAAAATAAATATCGCGGCACCTTGACTTACAAATGACGAGCTGTCCCTTGGTCCCTTTTTTTTTCTTTTGCGAGCCCAAACCGAAGGCGACTAAAGTGTAATAAAGTGAAATACAGCGTGGTGATAACATTTTTCCAGTTGCACGGAAATATACTGCGAAAGGCATGACTTTGCACATCACGGCGACATGGGTGACGCCGGCGCCCATTTGAAATCGGAGACCCGGCTCGTGAACTCTGCGTGTTCAAAGCTGCAACGTGGGAATCACGTCCGCCAATCAATTCTCCGCATCGCAGGTGGGAAAGTCGGCGCTGCGAATGCCGCTCCCGACAACGAACGGCGCCATTTCTGCTCCGAGCGACGGAGGAGATGGAGGAGGCCTTTTGCCAACGACATGTAACACACGTGTTACTTGAACCGTGTGGGTTTCTTTTTCTTGTACGCCATGCTGCTACACGACGACGGAACAAGGCCGCTTAAGTCCCAGTTGGCAGCTTGCCAGGAAAAGTGAGGCCACGCCGTCGGGGCGAGAAAAGAAAACGCAGTTCCCCCCAACGACAACCACGATCGCTGCCGGATCCGGTTGCGGCGGCGGGACGACAACGAGCTCGTTCCTCACGCGCAGAATAACAAACAGCCAATGCATCATTCGGATGGTCACGCGGAGCCGCCGCCGTCTATCGTCGGCTATGGCGTCAAACGTCACCATGGTCAACGCGCTACTGCTCTGTGCGGCATCAATATTTCAGCGGAGGTCGGCGGCGGGCCCGATTGAATATTTCGATGCAAAAAGCCAGCTGTGGTGGTGGCGGTGTGGTTTTTTTTTTTTCCCCTCTCCAATCTCACTCGTTTCCTCACAAACACAAATGATCTTCAGAACCGGTCGCTTGAGATTTTAAGCACAAGAGAGAGGATCTTTCTTGGTCATTTTTCATCACCATGACGACTGAGGGCGTCAGGCGGGTACTCTGTACTGCCAATTTGGGCTGTTTACTCATTGGAAACATTGGTCCCGGGACAACAGCGCAATGACTTATCGTATGTGCTTCAACGGCCGTTAGCCACTCTTCCAAACAATACGTGAGCAGCAAGGTTCACGTACGCGTTTGAAACCGCTTCAAACCATACGTGAGCATCAAATAGAAATGTTTCGACTTGCTGTCCCCGCCGTGTTTTCCAACTGTTCCAAAGCCTCCGCTAACCAGGCAAAGGGGAGAGCTTCGTAAGCCCGGCCGCCCGACATGGTCCCAAAAGCAAACGCAAACTCACGTTTTTCCTCCCGCAAACAGCCGCTCGCCGTGTCGCTTTTCCAAATGACGATCCCCTTTAGATAACAACAAAGTGACCATCAGAGTCGGGAATTGCCACTGATATGCGAATAACCCGGAGCATAGTTAGCCTAGCTTAGCACAAAGCTATCTTGAGTGCAATTGCATAATTACAATCGCAACATATGTTTTGCCACTTGCAGAGCGTTGTTCTAGTTTAAAACATAAAATGAATGAGCAAAAAAAAAAAGCACCATTCTAAGCTGAAAGCAGCTTTGAGTAGCGCATGTCACACACACGCGCTAATCATCTCATGAAGAATCACAATGCGCTATGTGCTAACAGTAGCCTAGTTTCGCATCACTTAGCCCAGAGAACTCAATTGAGTGCAATTACATCAGAAGGGGCAAAAAATAATGCTTCTCCCTACTCGCTAGCATGATCGGCCAGTTTGCCACATAGCCTTCCTCAACGACAATCCCCCCCACTTGTGCACAGAGAGCGGTCATCGGACATGAGGCTCAAAGCAGGGAGACGCTACCAAATAACAGAGGAAGGCGCGGTAAACCCGAGACAGCAGGCCGGTGAAATGCGGCCACTCACCGAGGTTCGCCCGCTCCCGCTGGACGTCCTTGAAGTTGAGCCCGCTGGTGAGCGTGCTCTCGCGGTAGCGATGGAGGGCCTCGCGGCGCCCGTTGGTACCCAGCTCGCGTAGCGCCGAGGCCTTGAGGGGCTCCGCCTTCAGACCGTGGGCCCATCCCGACAAGTCCGGCACCGTCCACTTGACCAGGTCCTGGAGGCGCACGATCACCTTTTCGGACACGGCGATCACCTCGTGCTTGGGGCGACAAAAAAAAATTTAAAAAACATTTTTTAAAGTCAGCCATTTCAGGAAGGAAGTGGCCTTAAAGGCAAATGGCGCAATGGCACACGGATGGTGGATGAGAGGAGTGACCGCAATGTAGGCCTTACGTTACAGCGGTGATTTCCAACCTTAACTGAGCCAAGGCACGCATGCTCAACACAAAAGGCAATTGTCTCATTCCACCGAACACATATTTGCCAATCATGTGAAATATCGAGGAAATCGTCTCAATTGACTCTCCAATTAGTTGAACGCGAAGGTCAAACAAGGAGCACTTACGCATCCTTTGTTCAGAGTATGTGACGCATTCCGCCATCTATTGCGCCATTGTCGCGGTCGGTTTCACAATTAACGTACATTTCATGCCGCTGTCTTCAGATAATGTTCAACGTCTTTTAGGGAGTAAAACCTCGGCTTTGTTGATTTTTTTGGCTACTCGGAGAGCTTGGATTCTTTTGAGGCGGCGCTTGGTTTGAGAGCCACTGCTAAGGAGGACATCAAAATGCGGAGGTACGCCTGGTGGGCTCCGCTGCATACACGCCGTGTGAAGTCGACGCGACGTGGGGACTCAAATGTGTTTGGCTTCATTTAATCATTCAAAGAAGTGCGGCTTCGTTTGAAGGCCTAATAATGGCGGGCACGCTCGGGACTGACAAAAGAGTGCACCGGAAGACAGCTA